AACTATGTTACCTATGTGTACAAAAACACAGTGTCTCCGGGCCAACGAGTTTACAATCCATTCCTGTTGGTGATCGCCAGCTCACAAATAACCTGTTCTGTAAGCGCATAGGTAAAACTTTCTTTTTGTATTCTTCATATTCTTCAGGAGTAAAAAGTTTCCCTCCATCGTCCTCACCAACAATTCTACAACAGAAAATATTGGTCTTATTACCCTTGAGAATGTTCCAGGTTACACATACTAAACTCTAAAACTATACTTGTATAGTTAAAGGAAAGGCTGCTTTGAGGTTTTTTGTTTGTTTGTTTTCTTTTGTTTTAGACACCTGTTAAAAGCCCCATTACAAACAATGATAATAAAACTTTTGCTTCTGATGGCRTTCAGCCATGCTACCCCAAAACATGACTCCTTGGCATTTGAGGAAGCAGCAGAAGCAGGAAGGCCACTCTCACCTTCCCTGTGCTCTTCTTCCCTGCAGTAGGTCATACATCAGTCATTCCAGAGGTCCTCTCCCCATACCTGGAGGAAAAGCACATGCTGGAGGAGATACTATGACAGGGAGAAGAATATGAACAAATAGGCCTTACTAAATGCTCCCCAATTTGTACCATTAGGACACACCCTTTTGTCCTTTGGTCATACTTCTCCAGGACTATCCACTCTTTATCAAACCTAAGCATAAAAACGCACAAGATCTCCTGTTTCTTTGGGTCTTCACTTCTGAAGGCTCCATGTCATATAAACTGAAATAAATTGGCAAGCTTTTCTCTTGTTAATCTGTCTTTTATCATAGGTATCTCAGCCATGAACCTAGTGATGACTGAAGAAATCTTTTCTCTCCTACTATTCCCTGATAACAAAGGATTACAAATTAAAAGTCAATGATTTTACACCATCTGCCTTTACTGATTAAGGCATATCAATGGAATATTACTTTATATTTATCTCAGTTTCTCCTGTTAATTCTGAGTCAGGTTCGTTCTTCTCACTAAAATCGAGAGCCTAAGCTGCTGAAAATCTAATGTTTTTATCTTTTAAAAAAATAGTACCAACAACAACAAATCAATGAAGAAGCCAAATGACTAATTCCATACCTGAACCTAAGCCCTGGCCAGGAGTTTAAATTTATGTAGGCTCTAAAAACMTGCTTGGATTTGCACAGGCTCATACCGACACCTGGGTATTGGACAATTAGGTGTTTCATTGCTTAATTTCAGATTCCAAAATTTTATGGGAAAAATCAAGCCATCACAATTTCTGGAGGAAAAGAAGGTACAACTAAACAAAGGTCTTCAAAGAGGAAGACATTTCTCCATGAAAATGCCCCCTAACTTCTAAAAATCATAAAAAGTGTCATTTGTAAAACGCACCATAACTTTTTTATGGAATACATACATTTTTCTGAACTTGAAACTGTTAGTTGAGGTAGAAAATTAAAAAAAAATTGTGAAATCCTTCAACCTTCTTCCTTATTTAAGCAATTGAGATATACAATAGAAAAAAAAAACTTTTTTTTTTTTGTTATTCTTTTTGTTGTTGTTTGTTTTGGCAGAGCCCAGAGGTACTCTGCCACTGAGCTACATCCACAACCTTTTTCATATTTTAATTTGAGACATCTTCTCTAAATTGCACAGGCCACCCAGGACCTGTAGATCTTCCTGCCTCAGCCTGGCAATTTGCTGAGATTGCTGGCATGCAACCACACCTCTGTCCAAAGGACATTTTCTTCCAAGGAAAACTGAGGATAATTACACATTATTATTACATTAAAGAAGAATACCTACAGAGAACAGAAAGGTATCTATCTATCTATCTATCTATTTATTTACACTTTTATTACTAGATGGATACAATACCTTTATTTTGTTTATTTTATATGGTCGGAGATTGAACCCAGTGCTTCACGCATGCTTGGCAAGCCCTCTAGCACTGAGCCACAACCCCGGCCCACAGAAAGATCTTAAAATAAACCATGTTTTTCCTCAGGGTTGGAGATGAAATCATGGTCTCGCCCATGCTAAACAAGCACCCTAAATCTGAGCTACATTCCTGGGCCTTTTTTAAAATTTTGAGACAGGTCTCACAAAATTGTCTAGGCTGACCTGGAACTTGCTATAGGATTCCCATGACCAAGTGTAGATCTTTTAAGGAAGAGATTGTTTTTCAAAWTTTAAACCAGTGCCTCTCAAATTTTATTGTATTTCCAGATCCCAGGAGGTTTCCTTCAAATGCAGATTCAAATTCTTAGATCTGGGGTGGGCCTGAGATTCTCTTTTCCAGCAAGCTCCCTGGTCATATCTATATTACAGTTCTCAGCTTCAGGCACTTCAGCAAGGACTCTACACTTCCCCTCCCATCTGCCTCCCCCGAAAACACTTAGGTATGACCAAATCAAGGAAAACTGAGGAAGAAAATTTCATTTCTGATGGACACTCATCTTTTTGACCCTTCTCACAGATCCTCTTTCATATCTAAGCACCCAAGTCCGGTTTTCCTGGCCTTTCTCAAATCCTGATGTTAAACAAGGGATCTGATAATCCCTTTTTATTAAAGGGAAATGTAGGTGCTATTTATGCTTGCAAAAATAATATCCACAGGCCTTCCCTTAGCACTTTCTGGGCAAGGGACAAGCGGAGGCCCACAATCATTACATCTAAATATCTAAGTTCTCAGTTGTGAGAAATAGAAAGTTCAGTGGTCCGTTTTCAAAACACACTCCTTAGCCTTTGGGGGAGGTAAAGTCCATTTTACCTACAGTCCTTCCCTTTGCCCACGCTAATTGTAAAATTGGCCAATCACGTAGATTATAACCCCAGGCTCCTCCTATCAGGACAAGCACAGCCTTAGGGATAAAAGCAGGTGGACTGCCCTCCCTGCTCCCAGTGTGCTTGCTGGAGATTTTCTTTGGAGGCATGCCCTTCTGTATTTCTAACATCAGTCAACACCAGGGCTCAGCAACTTGC